TGTCGCTACAAGCATGCTTAGTGTAGGGATTGCCTTTGAGTCAATGACTCGATGCAATCAACTGTTTTTTCCTTAGATAGAAAACTTTGAATCAATCTGACTGATTGATCTGGTGAACTGTAAAGTGCCTTGAGATGACGTGTTGTGATTGAACCTCTTTAATGTCTCTCAAAGTGAACTAATGCTCGGGTCAAAGGTTAGATAAAATTGTTTTAAAGATATTTCAATATTTTATTAAATAAATATGGAAATAGTCAAAATAGTGAATACATTTTTAATGTTAATTTCCCTTTTCTGATTATTGAGTCAGTAATCGTTTCCCGTTTAATGAGGGTTTTATCCAGAGACCGGGATGATGGTGGTGTTATCTATCAGCTAACCACCCGGTACTGACCTGAGGGAGGTCCAGGTGTGGTTGGTGGAATCCCATTTCCAGAAGTCTCTCTGCTCCCGCAGACCTTTCAGTCCTCCAAACAGGAACATGGAGTCCCTGTAGGCCACGGCGGAGTGACTGTGTCTGGGTCCAGGACCTGATGATCCCCGCTCAGAACCAGTAAGCCGAGTCCAAGTCATGGAATCTGTCAGAGACAAAAAAACTGATCAACGAAACACCGATGTTCTTCTTAACATCAAGTCTGCAGACTCAAAAAGTCTGTTTAAAATCAGCTACACTCCACTAACCTCTGAAACTAAGCACTTCTTAGACTGTTGTTTTAATGTGTTTTAAATCAAAAAAGTTCAGGAGTTTTTAATTGAAATTTACTTAGAAAATCCTGGAGACAAGCCGACTTAAAATAATCAATTTCCATTTTCTTTTCTTTTCTTTACTAACACAGTTGTAATTGAGTCATTTTTTTTCTAAACATGCTAATAAAACCTGAAATAATCTCACTGAGATTTAAACTCCAAAACTCCTGCGAGGTTCCTTTAAGGTCCATGAATCCTCCGTAGACCAGCATGGCCGATCCCAGCACCACGGCGCTGTGTCCTTTCCGATTGCTCGGCCTTTGGCTCTGCAAACACAAACATCAGCAGATATTAAAGCACAGGGAACATTTGATGAGATGTTAAGGAATAAATATATCCACATGAGCCACTTTCAACTGTTCTGCTTAGACAAATAAAAATACAAAAGTAAATAAAAACCCAACACTGGAAAAACTATCTAAAAATAAGTAAAAATGCGTTAAATCAGGTGTATTTACCCTTAATTTGTGTAGGTAAATGAGATAGTTAGCCAATGGAATGAGCATTTTTACTCTTAAAATAAGATAATTAGATAAAATGCACTTGAAATAAGACAATGAACCTGTGTTTTTTTTTTATTTTAAGTGTAAATTGTCTTGTTCCATTGGCAAGATGTCTCTTTTACCTCCTCAATCCAAGAACACATGCACTTATTTTAAGAAAAAATAACTTATCTAGATTTCTATTTTTCCCAGTAAATTCCAGGACATTTATTGACTAACATGACATGTTTTATTAACCTACATTTTTAACAGAAGCAAATTATTTAATCACCTTACCTATATCAGAGATTGGAGATGCAGGCTGATATATATGATATTGATCTGCTGATAAGGAACTGATAGCATTTTGAGAGTAAAATTACACCAGAGATTCTTTCTTTGATTCATTTCATGCACCATGTTGCTCATTTAGATAAATTCTTTATACATTTTTATTCTGACTGTAGATGTGGGCTAACTTAAGCTAGTAGTTATTGTATTTTCAGGCATATCAGCTTCCATCCTCCTTTCCTGAGCAGAATGTTCTCTTATGTTCACTATTTTGAAAAGTGATCAAATGAAACAGCCCTCTGCTTTCAGTTCTGTATAGTTAGAGAAACTGGAAACCTTTAGTTTGTATGTAATTTACTAAAAATAATTTTATATGTAATTTCTTTACTATTGTATTAATGTAGTAAAAGTAAAGGAAATTTGCCTTCTGGTCCGTATGATATACGCTCAGGCAAATATCCTTGTCCGGAAGTTTGGATTCTGTTCTGACGAAGTGAAACTGAACTTGTTCAGATCATATTGCACATCACTGTATACGGCACATTTGTGGTGCAACTTTAAAAAAGCCAGTCTTCATAAGTTGAAGGTGGCTTTTGTTAAATAAGA